TCCTTAACCGAAGCTAGTCCTAAACTTGTGACCACCCTCCTGCCCCTGCTGGGGTTAGAGACTTACGCCTTCATAAAATACCTTGATTTGAAGAAACCTGGGAGATAGCTCCACAGGTAACAATGCTTGCTGCACGTCTGATGACCCAAGTTCAATTCTCAGGGACCACATGGTAAAGAGGGGACTCCCAAAAGTGGTCCTCTGACCTCCACGTGGGCACTGCGGTATTGATGTATCCACATCCACACATACATATACACTCGTGATGAATGCTTTCATCATTTTAAAAATATCTGGAGCCGGGTGATGGTGGCGCATGCCTTTAATACCAGCACTCGGGAGGCAGAGGCAGGGGGATCTCTGTGAGTTCGAGACCAGCCTGGTCTACAGAGCTAGTTCCAGGACAGGCTCCAAAACCACAGAGAAACCCTGTCTCGAAAAAACCAAAAAATAAATTAATTAATTAAAAAAAAATCTGGATTGGAAAATGTACTTTATATCCAAACTACCAAATATCAAAGTCCAGTTTCTATTGAATCTATATCAAGTAATCAAGTATACAGCACTGTAAAGTTAAAAATTCGAGGAACCATCTGTACTGATCGAGGAAAAGCATTAAGAGTCCAAATATAAAACTTTATGTTTCTACATCAGTGTAGCTGTGGCTTTTTTTTTTTTTTTAAACAGGGTTTCTCTGTGTAACAACCCTAGCTGTCCTGGAACTTGATTTCTAGACGAGGCTGACCTCGAACTCACAGAGATCTACCTACCTCTGCCTCCTGAGTGCTGGAATTGAAGGTGTGTGCCACCATATCTGGAGACAGTAGCTTTTTTTTTTGCATGCTTATTTTTTTATTTAAGATATATGTATTATGTGTATAATGTCCTTTCTGCATGTGTGCCTGCAGGACAGAGGAGGGCACCAGATCTCATTAAAGATGGTTATGAGCCATCATGTGGTTGCTGGGAATTAAACTCAGGACCTCTGGAAGAGCAGACAGTGCTCTTAACCTCTGAGCCATCTCTCCAGCCAGACAGTAGCTTTTTTGATAAAGCTATTTAATAAACAGATAGGATCTTTTGAGTCAGCGTTTTGCTATATTGCCCAGAATGTTCTTGAATTCAACCAATCCTCTTGTGTCTCCCAAGTAGCTAAGGCTGCAGGCATGTGTCACAGTACCTGATAGAGAAGGGCACTGTGACAGTTTAATACTTGCATACCAAAAGTTTTTTTAAAAAATTTTTTTAAAGATTTATTTATTATGTATACAGTGCTCTGTCTGCATGTATGCCTGCACTCCAGAAGAGGGCACCAGATCTCATTACAGATGGTTGTGAGCCACCATGTGGTTGCTGGGAATTGAACTCAGGACCTCTAGAGGAACAGCCAGTGCTCTTAACCTCTGAGCCACCTCTCCAGCTCCCCATACCAAAAGTTTTAATTTAGCTCTTTACTTCCCATGATGCACAAAAATAATTCTAAACTGAGATTCTAAAGGGTGTAGAAATGGCTCAGTGGTTAAGAGCATTTGCTGCTCTTCAGAGAACCTGAGTTCAGTTCCCATCACTTACCGCCCAATGGGGCTCAAACCTGCCTGAAACTGCAGCTCCAGGGCATCTGATGCCCTCTTGTGGCCTCCACAGGCACTCGTATACACATGCACATTACCAGACATATCACACATGTAAGTAAAAACAACTATTAAAAATGAATCATAGCCAGGCATGGTGGCGTATGCCTTTAATCCCAGCACTCGGAAGGCAGAAAGACGCAAGTGGATGTTTCTGAGCTCAAGGTTAGCCTGGTCTACATGATAAGTTCCAGGGCAGTCAGGTTATATAGAAAGACCCTGTTTCAAAACAAAAGCAAGAAAAAAATAGATCATAAACCTAAACAACAGAATTGAACCTATAAAACAGTAAAGTCACAATAAAACATCAAAAACAAAAATTAAATAAATAACAATAAATGAAGGAAAAGTCTGTAGTAATGAGTTATGCAAAGGATTTTTTATGTTTATTTACTTATTTACTCATTTTGGTTTTTCAAGACAGAATTTCTCTGTGTAGCTCTGGCTATCCTAGAACTCACTCTGTAGACCAGGCTGGCCTTGAACTCAGAGATCCACCTGACTCAGCCTCCCAAGTGCTAGGATCAAAGTCATGTGTCACCACTAGGCTTGCAAAGGATTTTTTTTCTTTTTTAGTTTTTTGGGGCAGGGTTTCTCTGCATAACAGTCCTGGCTGTCCTGGAACTCACTTTTTAGAGCAGGTTGGCCTTGAACTCACAGAGATCTGCCTGCCTCTGCCTCCTGAGTGCTGGGATTAAGGGCATGTGCCACCACCACCCAGTACAATGAATTTTTTTAAAGGAAAAAAGTTTTTTTTAAATAATTGTGAATCCCCATGAGATGATGTGGGTTTTTTTGTTTTTTATGATTTATTTAACTTTATTTTATGTGAATTGGTGTGAAGGTGTCAGATCCCCTGGAACTGGATATTCAGACAGTGGTAAACTGCCATGTGGTTGCTGGGAATTGAACCAGGGTTCTCTGGAAGAACAGTCAGAGTTCTTACCCGCTGAGCCATCTCTCCAACCCCAAGAAAATAATTTTAATTGACTGTATTAATTTAGAATGTGTATGTTGCAAAAAACAAAAAAAAATACTTGTAAATTATCCATTTCATTTATTTCATTATAGATATTTTATGTAGAATATATAAAAAGAAGCCAGGCGGTGGTGGCGCACGCCTTTAATCCCAGCACTTGGGAGGCAGAGGCAGGCGGATCTCTGTGAGTTCGAGGCCAAGCCTGGTCTACAAGAGCTAGTGCCAGGACAGGCTCCAAAGCTACAGAGAAACCCCGTCTCGAAAAACCAAATATTATATATATATATATTTTTTTTTTTTTGTTTTTTCTCTGTGTAACAGACAGGGCTGTCTTGGAACTCACTTTGTAGGCCAGGCTGGCCTCAAATTCACAGAGATCCACCTGCCTCTGCCTCCTGAGTGCTGGGATTAAAGGCCTGTGCCACCATCCCCCAGCTATTAAATACCAATAATAAGGAGATAAGTAGCCCAATTAAAACTAGGCTATAAAACTGAGCATGGTGGTGTATGGTGCATGCCTTTAATCCTAATGCTCAAAAGGCAGAAGGAGTTGTATCTCTGTGAGTTCCAGGCCAGCCTGTCTACATAGGGAGTTCCAGGCCAGTTAGACCTACACAGTGAGACCCATTTCAAAAACAAAACAAAATTGTCCAGGTGGTGGAGACCCAGGCCTTTAATGCAGCATTCGGGAGGCAGAGGTCAGTGGATCTCTTGTGCTCGAGGGCAGCTTGGTCTATAGAGTGAATTCTGGGACAGGCCAGGGCCACACAGAGAAACCTTGTCTTGAAAAACAAAAAATTGAAAAAAAAGAAAGAAAAAGAAAAACCAAATGAATGTTTCTATTTCAAGTAATATGTATGAATGGCTACTGAGCACCTGAAAATACGGCCAATAGCCTTGCCTACCAGAGTAGGTATCATCAAAGAGACAGGAAACCAATCTGTGTGACGGCTATAAGGAAACAAATCCCTGTGTACTGTATTGCTATTGGTAGCACAAAATGAGACAGCTGCTTGGGAAAAACAAACAGGTAGGCAACCCCAAAAAGGGTTAAATACAGATTTCCCAGGTAGCCCAATAATTCTACTCCTAGGAGTCTACCAAAGAGAAACGGTGGCACACATCCACAAAAAGACATTACATTTACAGCAGCGTTATTCAAAACAGACAAAAACCAAAGAAAGCCAAATGAATGTCCATAGGTAGTAACTGTGCTCTATCTGCACAATGGAACGAAACACTACTCATCAGTAAAAAGGAACTCTGGTCATCACTGGAGTGAAGGTGTTCAAAAAGACACCAGAGCAAAAGCTGCGTGTTGTATGAATCCATTTATGTGAAATATCCGGAAAAAAACACGCAAAGCGGATCGGTGATTGCTCAGGACTGGAGCTGGAAGCGAGATGGATGGCAAGCCAATATGAAGGGCCTTCTTAGACTGATGGAAGCGTTCTGTGTTCTAACTGGATGGGACGACGACAGAACCCAACAAACAAAAATTGAGCAAACAATGAACGGTTTAAAGAGACACCAGACTGGGAGCCTTGTTATGATACTGTGATGCTTCAGGGAAAGAAGAGGCAAGTCCTCAGAATTACACACTGGGTGTGCAAAAAGTGGGTGCCCGGAGGAAGCATTGCCTGAGGAGCATGTACTTCCTCTGTTTTAGTTGCAGGAAAGAGTTAAAGGTTTGGAAAGGGTACCACTTGGCATTTTAGAGTCCAGAGAACTAGAGTGTTGGGCTGACGTGTGGCTGAACCTGTAAAGATATTTGCGACAGAGCCTGACAGTCTGGATTCAATCCCTGGAACCCACAGGATGGAAGGAGACCGACGCCTGAGAACTGTGCTCTGACCTTCACAAGTATGCTGTGTGGCACGGCCCCCACCTCCAATACACACTCATATGCAAATTAATAAATTAAGTAATAAAAGTTTTAAGAGACGCCATCACATGCACAAATCCACACTCACATATAAACATAGTTAAAAGTTACAAAAAGAACAAAGAACTCAAGCATGTAGTTGACGGCTGGTTTCAGATGTCATCATCATGCTATCGAGAAACAGCAACAATCACAAAGCATCAGCTACTTCGGCCCCATCCTTAGATGCTTGCCCCATTTTCTCTGTCTTTTGTAAATGGAAAAGAGCTTTGCAATCAGAGGCAGTTCGTTATTTAAGCAAATCCATGACGTCCAGTGAGCAACGGACGCCGAAGAAATGTAGGGCTCTCAAAACCCAGACCAGGGAGGGTTTGGATAGGTTTGCCGAGCTGAGCCCGGGATACTCGCTCTCCTTACGCAGTACAGGAACAAGACGTAGCAATGGCTGGTGACTGCAGGGGGCGCCCAGACGCAAGGAGAGGTCTGTCACGCCCATGACCACGCCCCTCACGTGATTTGGCTGACGTCACACCCGGAAGCAGCCCTGCAGCGGAGCGGGCAGCAATGAGTGGGGAGCCAGGACAGGTGTCCGTAGTGCCCCCTCCCGGGGAGGTGGAAGCAGGCAGTGGAGTCCACATCGTGGTGGAGTACTGGTGAGCCACTGGGGCTGAAAAGGAGCCCTGTGTTCGCCGGCAAGATGGGGGTGGGTCCACGGGAGGCCCCACCCCCGGAGCCCCAGCTCACCCCACGTCTCTTCTCCCCAGTGAACCCTGCGGCTTTGAGGCGACCTACCTGGAGCTGGCGAGCGCCGTGAAGGAGGAGTATCCGGGCATCGAGATTGAGTCGCGACACGGGGGAACAGGTGAGATCCGCAGAGCACCTGCTGAGTCAGTCTGTATTATAAACCCCAGCTCTCCTGCCTTCTAGAGCTGACTGTGTATAAACCCCCTAGCAGGGTCTGGCACATTGAAAATGCCTAGTGTGGGTTTGGAGTGAAAGCCCTTAATGGCGTGATGGAGGGACACGCAGGTGAGTCTTCCCGAATGGCTTAAGGATCTAAAACCCGGGTCACTCATGGTGTCAGCGGAGACCACGAACCGTCATGCTTGTAGTCTCTGGAGTGCCAAGGCCCTCCCTGGATGTCTGCCTGTTTTTAGCTCACTCTTGCGTTTGTTTCATACCAGGGGCCTTTGAGATTGAGATCAATGGACAGCTGGTGTTCTCCAAGCTGGAGAACGGGGGGTTTCCTTATGAGAAAGATGTGAGTATCGGCAGCATTGGAGGCATGGCTGAGGCACACCCTCCTCTCTTATGCTTACCACTTGCCCCCGTCTCTGTCCCCTAGCTCATCGAAGCCATCAGAAGAGCAAGCAATGGAGAACCTTTAGAAAAAATCACCAATAGCCGGCCTCCCTGTGTGATCCTGTGACAACACGTGATTCTTGGAAGCTTGGTTCTGGGGCTCAAACCTGTTTCCTTGGGGCTTCACTAGGAACTTCCTCTGCCTTTTGCCCCTCACTTAGCTCCACTTAGCCCCTTTGGGCACAAGGAGGGGCTAGACATTTCTATGGTCTTGGAGGCAGAAAGGAGATGTTTTCTGTGGACATTTCCACGACCATCTCACACCCCTCTCCTGGGATCCGTGGTGCCCTCTGCAGCTCGGTCCTCTCCCAAGCTTAGCAGATTCTGTAACTTATTTTCCCCGAGTCCTGGGTAGTGTCAGCTATTGGCAATAAAGAGCTATTAGCGCTACAAACACTTGTGCAACTGGTGTGTGTTTATGTCCAGCCTGCAGGAGCACAGAGGTCAGTCCAGACCTGTTAACACCTACTGGGTTGGCCCTCTCTAGACAGAGGCAGCTTTCTTAGGCAAGGAAGATGAGTCACACAGACAGCCCCTTCCCCCAGGGGGAGAGGACCTCATTCCAGTGATGGCCTTGGAATGAGTATGTCCAATGGAGAACGACCCTGTTGCCAAAGGGTCCTCAGAAAGGAATCCTAACTCCCCAGTCCCCTAACCCCAAACCAAACCACCTCAAACTACCCACTCGCTGGGGGGAGAGCTGTGTGTCAGGTGAGCAGGACGGCTTGGCCCAGAGCCACTCCCAGACGTAGGCTGGCGTCCTATTTTACAAATCTCACTGCAAATGGACAAAGAGGCACACCACTCCCTAACTTCCATAAAACAGCCACTCTCCCACGGTGTCCTTATTTCAGCTTTAAAAAACAAAAGTAAAAACAGAACAAAATACACTCTGTACAAGGATGGTCTGGATGCTAGCGCAATCCCTTGCCTTGTGGGATGCACGCACGACTCAGTCCTAGTGGGTTGTCCTGTTGCCAAGATATTCGCTTGGGGCCTCTTCCCTTCTAGGCTGAGTTTCCCTCAGTCCTCAGAACCAAGAGAGCCAGGCCAAGCGAGAAGCCATGACTGTAATATCCACTGGACCCTACGGACTGTCAGGGCAGAGTCTGGACTCATCTGAGGCTGTCCAGTGTGCCGTCTCTTCCAGCCACATGGCCCCTCTCGACCACTCGGTATGATTCAAGCAGCAAGAAGGGCTCCATAGGGTGGGTTCCTGACACAGCAGGCTGCCCTGGATGTTATGTGGCCAGAGGACCTCTCCCTGCTTTGCGGTGAGGGAGAGCACAAGCCAGGTTTCCCTCCTTTGAAGGCAGAACAGGGTCTCTGCAGACGTAACCTCAGACGGGCACATCCAGGCCCAAGTATTCAGGGTTCTCTGCCGTAGGGGTTCCTTCAAAGGTACTTGGTGGAGACCCCTTCTCTGATGGATTCTGGTCCCAGTAATAGAGGTTGTCAAAGGCTGGGCAGAAGGCAGAAGGGTGAGGTTGAGAGGCAGTGCTTCCTCTGGGTGCTAAGTACTCAGGGTTTTCCACAGCACCCCCAAAGGAAAAAACGTCTTTGACAACCCCATTCTTCCCAGGAGAGAGAGTCTTGGGTCTTTCTAGAGTAGCAGCAGCAGGCCGGACAGGAGGCAGAGGACCCTCTGGGGTCAAGGGGGGCTGAGGCCGAACCTCTGGCTGGTTCACATATTCTGTAGGAGAGAAGAGGAGCTGTTAGAGAAAAGAAGATGTCCCTGCCCCAGCGCTGCCCCTCAGTGGGTGTGGCCTGAGGGTTCCCAACTCCCCTCTTCCCAACTCTCAGGCCTGGATTCCATACCGGGCTGGGGGCTGCAGGCCAGGGGAGCAACGTAGCCATCATTCTCAACAGGTAGGGGTAATGTGGGATCCTCGCTGTACCGCTGTAGAGGGCTGAGGTCGTGTGGAGAGATGCTCGGTAGCCCTTTGGTTGCCCCCATTCCCAGGTCACCATCAAACACATCAGAGCCAGCCCCTTCCGAGGGAGCCAGTGGAGACCTGGGGGGCTCTTCTTCTGAGGGCTCCAGGCCCAGTGTCAGCTCACCACCTCCACTCTGGGGTAAGAGAGGGTCATGAGAGAAGTTACTCAAAGGTCTGGGAGGGGGACCTTGGCGGGGAATGATAGGTTCCCGGGAGAAAAACACAGATCACCTTGGAGTCATTATGAAGGGAATGGAGCCCCAAGAGTTGGAAAGCAGTACTGATCATGGAATATTAAGGGAAGGTAAATGTCGGGAAGCACCAAGGGAAGGGACCCCGGTAGCCTCTGCTCTAAGATGGGCACTGACCCTGGTAGACGAGCTGCGGTGCCTACGGTGGGCTGTGCTCCCGGTGCCTGGAGCAGGGTCTGGGCAGAAGAATCCCTGCTGGGGGACCAGATACTCTTCGGCATCTACCAGGTCCCCCATGTCATCATCCTCGAGCAGTGAACGGTAGAAGGTACTGTCCAAGGGGCTGGATGGACCCAAGTCCTCGTTCTAGGGAAAGAGACACCAAGTGACAGCCCAGCGTTAAGCTCCCCAGAAAGGTTCACCAAGCTTGGACTAGAGGTGGGGGCTCGGCTTGGGGAAGTGGTATCCAAGTCCCTTCCCTCTCAGGTCTCTGCAGGAAGGAGGATGCTGTTAGGGCAGGGATGATTGTGGGAAGGCTCAGTACCTGGATGACCACAAAGCGCTGGGGGTCCCTCGCCATGCGGGAGAATTCTGACACCAATTCCCGGAATCTCGGGCGACATTCAGAATCTATCATCCAACCTAGCGCAGGAGAGAGCTCAGCATCCTTATCCCAGGACCAGCTGCCTGGCCCCTTCCTGCTCCCTCTGAGTCTGGCCTAGACGACCCTGGCTAAACCCAAAGTCCTCACATGGCAGAGAAGCACAAGTGGACTCTGGATCTTGAGCCAGAGTTCTGGAGCGTTTCTCCTAGGTGCCCCCTTTAAACTGGCATCTTTCCCCTCAACAGCTGTCCTCTCGAGCAGCTAGGACTTCCATTGTGAGTGGGACAAAGCACCTTTGGAGGCTTCCTTCAGGGATACCTCTCCATTCATATCTCACTCTTCCTCCCCCAGAACCCACACACAGGTCAGACCAGCCCTCCTCTACACTTGAGGCTCAGCCCCGCCCACCACACACATTTGACCATAATCATGTAGACATCGATAGTGCAGATTGGAGGCTGAGGCAAGCGCTCTCCCTTCTCCAGCAAGTCAGGGATCTCCCGGGCTGGGATCCCATCGTAAGGTTTGGCCCCAAACGTCATCAGCTCCCACACCGTCACACCTAGGACAGACAGGCATCAGGAGAGGGGGGACAGGAAGCTTAGGTGTACAATGAGAGAGGCTAGCCAAAAGGGAGGATCAACCAGTCTCCTCATACCCCAGGTGGGCACAGGCCATCGCAGGGTGGGCATCAGCAGCCCTCCCCCTCTCCTCCATACCCACCCTCATTCTCGTACCCGTATCCCACCCTGCCAAGGCTACTCATCCAACCCTCCCTATCACCACCGCCACACACCATAGCTCCACACATCGCTCTGATGGGTGAACCGCCGTCTAAGAATGGATTCCAAAGCCATCCACTTGATGGGTACCTGGGAATGCAGAGCAAAAAGTCCTGAATGGGTGTGGTAGGGACATGACCCTTCTCAAAGTTCTCCCGACAGCCAGATACCACCCCACCCCTCCCTTCTCCAACCTTGCCCCCATCTGCATGGTACTCTGTCTCATCAATGTCCAGCAGCCGTGCCAACCCAAAGTCTGTAATCTTGACATGGTTGGGACTCTTGACCAGCACGTTCCGGGCAGCCAGGTCCCTGTGCACAAGCCGTACATCCTCCAGGTAGCTCATCCCCTGAAAAATGGGCACCAGTGTAGAACCGGAGTCTGGATCTCACCTTACTGACACCTCCCACCCCATCCTGGCCCCAGATGAAGACAGGGATTTGCACCCAAAGGACCTGCAGGGTCAGAAAGCCCCTTAAGCACATACCTTGGCAATCTGAACACACCAGTTGAGCAGGTCCTGGGAGCCCAGGCGACCTCGGTGTTCTCGGACATGGTCCAGAAGGCAGCCATAGGGCATAAGTTGTGTCACCAGCTGCACTGTGGATGTCAGGCAGATGCCCAGGAGGCGTGACACATACGGAGAACCCACACCAGCCATCACGTACGCTTCCTGCAGGGAAGGGTCCACTGAGATACAGGAACTCACCTACTCCCACCCACCATACTCCCCTCCTAGACCCCCCCCCATCCCTGCATGGTCTGCAGACCGGGAAGATCAAGAGGCAAGGTTTAGGGGTTCCATCTCAAACCCTAATGAAGAGAAAGCAGCCCAGGTCTGCAGCGAGGGGGCTTCTCACAAGTCCCAAGGGAGAAGGTGAAGGGGCTCACATCCAGGATTTCTTTGTTAGCTTTCGGGGATGTGTTCTCCCTCAACACCTTGATGGCCACGGGGATTTTCACATTCTCCCCATCTGGGATCCAGATGCCCTGAACAGAAAGGACTTGAGTCAGGTCTGTGGTTCAGATCCAGCGGGTCCCCAAGAAACCATTGAGGAGTAGCCTCTCTTCCCCCCAGCTCGGCCCATTTCTTTCTCTTGTCTACGCCCCTCCAGGCACAGCCCCTCCATATCCACCCATGCCAGAACCCAGCCCCTCCTGACCTTGTAGACGGTGCCGAAAGCTCCGGATCCAAGCACCTTCACCTTCCTTAGCTCAGTCTCTTTGAGGATCCGCATCTGAGCCTGGTTGGGCATGGCTCCGCTGGGCGTCAGTGGCTCCACTAGCTGGATTGAGAGGGTGGCAGGGTGAGAGCCAAGCAAGCGCAGGTGGGGGAGGGGCTAGGAGGCCCTCCCCCCACCTCACCTCAGTTTCCTGCAGCAGCCTTCGCATTGTATACTTCCGGATCTTCTGCCGCCTCCTCTTGATTAGGATCCCAACAACCACCCCTATGACCAGGAACAACAGGATGCCGACCACAGTTGCGATGATTGATGTCGCCGGGCTGAAAGCAGAGACCAAAATCGGAGATTAGAGCTAGTCTAGGGAGAAAATTTGAAGAGACCCCATGAAGGGACGGGAATGTGCTTTGGCTCAAAAACATCATGGGAAGTTGGACACGGTGGCACACGCTCTTAATCCCAGAACTCAGGAGGTAGAGGCAGGTGGATCTCTGTGAGTTCGAGGTCAGCCTGGTCTACAGAGCGAGTTCCATGACAGTCAAGGCTATATAGAGAAACCCTGTCTTGAAAAACAACCAAAAACACAAAAAACAAAAAAAAAACAAAAAACAAAAAAAAAACACTTCATGGGAGATAATTCAACAGAGACCTTGCTAATCTGCACTATGCCTACCCCAGGAATCCTGCCACACTTGGAAATGGGATCCAGGAATGTGTACCCCAAGACTCTAAGGTATTAGCCAAAGCTTTCTCCAAGGAGTCATGGTTTCCCATGCTTTGTGGCTGTTACACCGAGGACACCCATTACCAGGACCCCAATTTCTTTTTGATATAATCTTTTTATGACTCAGCTCATCCTGGGGCACACAGGGCCCCTTGATATTCATCAGACCATTTATGTGTTGATTCTCTTATTCTTTTGACTGTATGTCCCAGGCTTACATGCGTGTGCCTCCATCTTCCAAACGCTGGAGTCATAGGCGTGTGCCACCTGCCACCATGCCC